ATTTAGGTTGTAATTGGCATGGATGTTGCCGCATCTGAATTCTATGGAAAGGACAAAACTTATGATCTGAACTTCAAAGAAGAGGTAAGTTCTTGCCGGCAAGGCCCTAAAACTGAATGGAACTGGAAAATTTGTGTTGCATCCTTTTCAATATTATGTCTAGGATTTTATCTCTATGAAAGAACTCTGACCTGGTTTTTCTACAATATCATTTATGAGTAAAGCTACATTATTTTCGAATATCTATGTGCAAAAATGAACATGTTAAACCTAACCTTTTTTGGTGAAAAAATGGCTTATACATAATACTCTCATTGTGCATTCATAAAAATATTATCAGCTTTAGTCAGTGCTATCCACTAACTGGGAATGAATAACTAATGGATATGCAAAGGACGAGATAGAAGAGACTTTACTTTGTTTATGGAGGTAATTTAGAGTAAATTCTCAACTTGAATTGACATTTGCTCCTTTTTTTTCATCTTCGCAGAACAATAATGGCTCACAAAAGATCTCAGGTGACCAGCTCAAAGATTTGTACAAGTCATTCGTGTCTGAGTACCCTATTGTTTCAATTGAAGATCCATTTGACCAAGATGACTGGGAAACCTACGCTAAGCTCACTGCTGAGATTGGGGAGAAAGTACAGATCGTGGGAGATGACCTCCTTGTTACCAATCCTAAGGTAAGATTGAAGTGTCTAAAAGCAACTTGATGCTTCCTTGTTTAGAGCTGTGTGCTTTGAGCTTCCATTGAAAAGGAAATATATAGTGCACTTCTTTCTTGTGCCTGTTGAGCTATTTTCCATATGCCTTCTAAGACTTAGATATTTGTTCATTATGTATGTGCAGAGGGTTGCTAAGGCAATCGAGGGGAAGACTTGCAATGCGCTTCTTCTTAAGGTATCATTGAATCATCTATGTCAGCGTTGTTGTCAACGTTTCGTCTTTGACTTGGGGATTATACTGCATCCTCATTTCATGTACAGGTTAACCAAATTGGAAGTGTGACTGAGAGTATTGAAGCTGTAAAAATGTCTAAGCGGGCTGGTTGGGGGGTGATGACCAGTCACCGCAGGTGAGAAGATTATCATTCTCTGAAATGGGCTTAGAAACTTAATTAAACATGCTTGTTATATATATGAAACTTGTTAATGAACTTATGTTATTTGCTCAGTGGAGAGACAGAGGATACCTTCATCGCTGATCTTGCTGTGGGTTTATCAACTGTAAGTTTGTTAACAAAACATTCTAAGATTGTTTTGTCTGTATTTTAATTTGTTACTCCTTGGTATTAATTATTATTATCCTGGGAATTTCCAGGGACAAATCAAGACTGGAGCTCCCTGCAGGTCAGAGCGTCTCGCAAAGTATAACCAGGTAGTAATTATCCCATTAGCTATTTCCCTCCACCAAATTGCATTCATGGAGTTGTACAACACTTCTTTCCGTATATTCTTTGCACCAGCAGTTCTGATTTTTGATTCTTTTCACACAGCTTTTGAGAATTGAAGAGGAACTTGGGTCAGATGCCATTTATGCTGGAGCAAGCTTCCGTGTACCTGTTGAGCCCTACTAAACTTGATCTGGTATTGTGAGATGTAGTCTCTCTTTGGCTTAATAAATCGCCATGCATATGAGTTATCTTAGATGGTCTATGACCAGCTTTTTTCAACAGTTGTTTGTTCTGAGGTTTAACAGTGCTGAACTCATGAGAAACAGTTCCTATGGGCTATGAGCATGTTTCATTTTTTGGCTGCTGGTTTTGTAACGGGGAATACAGATCATAGTAATTCTTAAATTGATGTTTTCATAGTTTTGGTGTTGCATACCTTCAGATCTCTAGTGTTATAACTCTCTTTAGCAGATCAATCAAGAAACAAGCTCAGGCCACGTAAAATTTTATCTGGCATCTAGCTTCTCAAATGAGGGTTGGTTTCTCTAAAAGAACAAACGATCTACACACTTACATTGCTTCTCTGCATGCCCCTCGTTAATGCACATTTCGGGTGCAGTCTCAGGACTATCCAGATTCATCAGTTAGGACTTGGGAAGTTACATTGATGACTAGTATCAAGGAATCACTGTTTGAAATCTGCCTGGGGAGAATGGTCCTTCTAATTTCAGTGTTAAAGAGTTTAGACCTGTGTTCAAATTTTTGGCTAATATTACTGCTAGTCATTTTTTTTGTCTGTTACCATATAGCATCCATTCACAAGCGTTTTTTTTATCAGCATTTTGAGGTAAAAATGCTTAATATGCTGTTAGTAATAAAAGGAGAGTGCTGCTGATAGGTAGGATGCCAAGAGTGTTGCTCCCATTGTAATCACACTTTGTTGCATTAATGATAGATATGTTAAAACAATTGTTATAGGAAATCAAAATAAAGAATTTGTAAAACACAAGAAATATTGAGTATTATGAAAGTGGTGGCGGAGGTAGGAATTTTACTATGAAGATTCAAAAAGATGTTCGTCCAGTTTATGGATTCAATAATTTATACATATACATAGATTTTTACCTATATACAAAGTCAATTTTTCAGCCAAGGAGAATTAGTTGCCCCCCCCCCCCCGTGGTTGTATCACTGTTAAATAGTGAAACCGGAAGTAAAATCTTTAAAGTTGTTTTTGTAATAATTTACTAGTGAGAGGGATTATTTGGTTCAAATTTTAACCAAAAAAACCAAACCAACTTCACTGGTTCTTTTTTGATTTTGTCGATTTTTTTCGTAACTCATGAAAGACAAATTCAATCCACTAATACTTTTCCGCAGAAAGAAATTCAATCTTTAGTGCTATGGACGCAATATTTTATAAGTCAATACATGTGTGTGCGCGCGTGTTTAGCAAAAATTGAGCAAATAGACAGTTTTATGATCTATTAAAATTATTAGATGAGAAATTTTTTTCGTAATACATAATAATTGTTCCGTTTTTTAATTTAACAGCACACTTACATTCATATATACTTCCAAGTTTCAAACTAAAATTGAATCAAGTAAAATGAATAAACAGATGACTCCCAATAGCTTTTCAATATAGAACGCAAGACATAATATGAAAAATAAGCAATGATATGCTTTGGTTTTTTTTTAAGAATAGTCAATAAGACATCTTAAATTAGAAAAGGATATATGAGTCTGATAAATTCCTAACTTGTTCAATAAATGAACGAACAAAGAGACTTAGTTTTTAAACACACTTGACAAGAGAGAGATTATACATGATAAAATCAAGCATTTTAAAAAACAAAAATAGATCTTCTATAGTATTTCATATTTACTTCTACATCCCAAACAAGAATCATGAATGTATCTAGGAGAGTCTGTTATAGAATCAACCTCTCTCTATTTCCAAACTANCACCCCCCACCCGAATACCACCGGAACTCGCTGCCACTCCGAATGGTGTCTCCTTGATTGAAATGGAGGAAGACAACCCCCAAAAGAACTCCTTCAAGGATATCCTATTGGAAAACAAAACTTGGTTTTTTCCACCTCCTATGGGATACACTCATCTCCAACACAATGCCCCAATTTTGAATTGAACGCATGGAATATCCCAATTCTACTCTCCAATGAGGACAAAACCAGATTATACCAGCCATGAAAATACTCATTAATTATCAAACTCTTTGGGGAAAAAAATCCTCACCAGCTACTGAAAGCAAAACTCGTCCATCTATGGAAACCAACTGAACCACTCATACTCATTGATCTAGGATGGAACTTCTTCATAGTTAAATTAAACACTGAAGAAAGCATGAGCAAAGTCTTAAGCGGGGGACCATGGTTTGTAGCTGGTCACTTCCTATCAATCTGTCAATGGGAACCCAATTTTGTTCCGGCGAAATCAAAGCTATCAATAACCGCAGTATGGATAAGGTTACCATAATTACCAACTGAATTTTATGACAGATCCATTTTGGAACAAGTAGGAAACAGGATAGGCAAACTACTGAAAAATGATACATGTACCTCATCTATGCTACGAGGCAGATACGCAAGAATTTGTATCCAAGTCCCAGTAAAAACATCAGTCACCACAAAAGTCACCATTGGCCGCTACAACCAACCAATTGTATATGAAGGGGAGGGAATATTATGCAAGGGATGTGAGAGAATTGACCACACACTAAGGAGCTGTGAGTTTGCGATCATACCCGCCCCAACAAATAACAGTCTATGTCTAGCAATGGCTCCACTAGTGTGCCCAATGCAAAGGACCCAATATCTCAATGGAGCACAATTCCCTTCTCAAAGAACAGGCGCATCCACCTCAAAGGAGAGCGACCACAAAGGAACAACTAGGGGAAAATATCAGAGAAAATCAACATCCAGGTAAAGAGGTTCAATGTGTCACGCCCCGAACTCAGGGAGCGCGCCCGACGCTCAACCGAGTGAACCCGGTCAAGCAAACATGTTAGATACTTTCTACCCAAACTCACTTATGAATACAGAGAATACATATTTCGTTAATTAGACAATAAGGAGACCATGTATACAATACCAATTCATTACCATTAGTTACTTCATTTTAAAGTCTCAAATTACACACATTTTCATGGTCTGAAGTGGAACAAGTAATTCAAACACAACATAACTTATTTGACTTTCCCAGCACTAATATACAACCCACACTTTGTCTACGGAGCCTCTAATAGATACAGAAGAGTACTATGATAATGTCGGCAACAAGGCCCCGGCTATACCTCAAACACAATACACAAGGAACAAAAGATACATGACCCCGAAATGAAGTGGGGCTCACCAAGTCAGCTGGGAATAGGGTGTACCGCAATCACTTATCAATGTCTCCTGCTATGGAATCACCTGCATCCATTGAAGATGCAGCGCCCCCGGCAAAAGGGACGTTAGTATATATGGAATAGTACTAGTATCAGTGGAAGCCACAAATAATATAAACCTCAAATTAGGATCAAGACAGTGTTCAAATAAATTTCCATATCTTAAGTTAGGAGATTTTTAGTACAAATATGCCACCGTTCACAATATAAATACTATCGTACTTTTAGTACGGAGTCCGATCACGACCTGATCGGCTAGGCCATCTCATTCGAGACATCAACCAAAATCACAATTTCAATTATAATTTTCAGTACAATCACCACCATGTGTGGGGCATGACGTCCGATCACGACCTGATCGGCTAGGCTGTCTCATTCAAGACATCATCCTTTTATACCAATCATCTCGTTTCATACTTCTTTCACATCTTTTCATTCCATTGGCACTAGTGGCCACAATTATAAAATCATTCTTGGCACGTCGGCCGTAATTAGTATTCCATGCTCACTATTTTCACTTTCAAACATCATCATCATCATCAACAACATGGCATTACAAATCAAGGTTTTTAGTACACATGTGAGCAATTAAGAGTCATAGGCACATAGAGATATTTTACAAATTTTGGCATAATAGCCTTCGTTGGAGTCGAAACATTATTAATGCATAACCCATACTTTGAGTACATTCTCATATGATAGCATAATATGATAATAGCATTTGGTATACATATTAAACAAATATCCTCCAACACAAACTTATTCGGAATAGTATAATGAACTACTCGGGACTTACATAAATTACATGAATATCATGGGATTCAATTCTAAGAGAGGAGTTTAGCCAACATACCTCGATTTGAGCTTTCCTTAAATTACTACAACATTTCAAAAATCCTAGCAATCCCATTCTATTTTGAGACATAACAAAATTGAACACAAATTAGGAGGATATTCATGGTTTCAACTCATTTGAGCATTTTATCAAACACTGGATGTGCAAATTTGGTTACAAGGTTCTTCTACAAGATTTCCTTCATTCCACAACCCAATCTTTACTTATTTGAGCTCAACAATCTTCCCACAAAACTTATTGGTACAATCATGTATAATTACTACTCTTACACCCAAGAATTATACTCTCAATCACCCATCTTTTACCCCCCCAAACTCGAAATTGAAGAATTGGGGGAAGAAATTCTTACCTCTTTGAAGCCCTAGCAAGATCCTTGTGAAATCTTCAACCCTTGAGTAAGAATTGATGAACAAATGACTAGGTCTTATCTTTCTCTCTCTAAGATACTCTCACCTCTCTCTAAAAATATCAGATAAAACCCTTTAAAATGACACCAAAAGGCTATTTATTAAAATGGGGTCGGGTTACAAAAATCAGAAAAATGAAGCTCCGAAACACAATTTGCGATTGCAAAGTGACCGCAGAATAGGTATGCAGTCCGCAAACCGGCCGCACAATTTGGTGCCCCTGAACTGGAAAATACGGGTTGGGTCTGCGGAGGTTCTGCGGCCCGCAGACCTGTTCTGCAGTCGCATAATGCACCGCAGACCTCCCTCTAAACTTGCCCCATAACTGCTTCACTCTGCGGCCATTCTGCGGCCGCATAGTGGGCCGCAAAGATGTCTTTTTCTGCCAAATTTTTTTTCCTTTACTCCCAAGTGCATTGTTCAACCCAAAAAGTTTGAGTCGCGGCGAGCAAGTTTGCTGCGAATAATTTTTACAATCCTCAAATACGTAAGCCTACTTCGGCACCACGAAATCTTAAATTCCTTTGCGAAATTTTAAGGGGCCTTACACAATGCCTCCTAAGGTACGTTCTTAGACCCAAAATATAACACCACCAAGTGTACCGGCAGCACTATCCCAAAAGGGAAAGACCCGAATAGCCACTTGGGCTCTCATGGGAGTCCAGTGGAGCACAAAAAAAATGATATGGGCCCTAAATTAGGACACCAAAGAGGAGGCCTAAATCTTACAAGAGATATGGGCAATACACATCCACTC